TTTGAAAAAAAAACACACAGTTTTAAATTTGACAAAACAAAACTATTCTTTCCTCAATTCTTTTTCTACTCGAACTTCTTTACCCAACCCCAACCTGAAAACTCTAAAAAACCCACTGCCATCAATTCGACTTCAACTCATAGCAACCCTATGGGACCGAGCAGAAGCCCCCCGGGCACATTTCCAGGGCTGTAAAGCTTTCTGGGAGCAGAAGGTCTCAAGGGACAGAAAGCCCACCTTTCTTTCTCAAAGGGGCTGGGAGGTTCAAACTGCCGACTTTGCGGTCAGCAGCTCAACCCATACCCCAACCAAACTAATGAGTATTGTGCCAGATGCCTGATTGTACGCAGTTGCCCAGAGTCGTCAGAAGATATACTTTATGTCGTAAAATTGGACGTGCATTGTTCGCACCGCGTGCTGTTTCCTGTGTGTCGATCACCCCTCCGCCAGACTGTTTTCCAAAGAGACAAGACAGAGCAGGCTGTCCAGCCAGTGCCCTTCCTCCACACAGACCCTGCGAAACGAAATGAAAAGATGGAACCTGAATCAGCATTGGAAAGTAAATTTGATGTTCCAGTCAGCGGCAGGAGGCTATTCCAAGAGGTTAATAGCCTGAGTGAGGTGTAAAGATGTTCATTTAGCCGCACTCTCACATCTCCGGTGGGGTCAGTGTCCTGGACTATGGAGGAGTGTGGGGCTTGGCGTTTGACCTGCTTCCGTCTTCGGTCTTTGCACTCTGTTGCAGAGCCCACGTCAATCTTAGGTACCTTTGAACCCCAAATGCATGCTTCGGTGCACTTTAATTTTCCCGAAGTAAATAGATAGCCCTTGTTAGCTTCCCTTAAGTAACTAGATAGCAACCCCGCGGGTTCTAAGATTGGGGAATCAGATAAAATTCTAAAAACCAAGCATGTCTTCCAAAGGTAATTATGAAAAGTTGAACAAATGTTTGGGAGACCTTCCCTCGACTCTTGCAGCCAGCTTTCTCTAGGCATAGAAATATTTTCTCCTTGTCAGGATCACCCCCAAACCAAGCAAAGCCCACTGCCATCGAGTCCACTACGACTCACAACAAACCCTGCAGGGCAGACTAGAACTGCCTGCTTTGGGTTTCTGAGACTAGAAATCTTGATAGGAGCAGACAGCCTCATCTTTCATCCAAGAAGTGATTGGTGAGTTCGAACTGCGGGCCTTGGGGTTGGCAGTCCAAAGTCTAATCCACTAGGGCTCCTTCCTAGATACCAAAATATTCCCGCCTTCAGAAGAATATGTTAGTGCCAGTTGGAGGACTGTGTGTCTGAATTCTTGGGGCCAGAAGGAAATGCCTATGTTTGCAGCGTGGTGTCAGGGTCCCGGTGCTCAGGGCCAGTGAAGGGTCCCTGGAGCTTGGCGCCCATGAGGAACGTGAGCCCGGAAGCCACTGAAGAGGCTTGAGTCTCACAAAATCAGGTCTGCTTCTCACCACTGTTTCTCTGCTTTCCCCTCGGTTTTCCAACGTAACCAGCTGGACGGTGCTGCAGGGAAGAATTGGGCGCCCAGAGAACCCATTCCGCGTAGCCCTGGAATACATCTCAAGTGGGAACCGAAGCCTGTCTGCGGTGGACTTCTTTGCCCTAAAGAACTGCAGTGAAGGTACCTGAGTCTTGCTTTCCCCGCCAGTCCTTGGTCCCCTGTCTTAGTCAGGTCCATCATCCATCGTCCCCGTTGGCGGAGAGTGTGCACCCTTGTGTAGAGAAGTCGACAGTGCTTCTGGGGTGGTTCTGAATAATATCAACTAAGCCAGAGTCCAAATGACCAACTTTCAAAGATTAGGTATCAAAGTATAGTTGCCTAACTTAAAAATGTCAGAGAGAATCCAGTTTTTGTAGGATCACATTCGCTTAACTTCCCTCTCGGCCTCTTCCCTGTCAGATGTTTGCTATGGTTTTGTGTGTGTATGTGTGTGTTTTCATTCATTGTAGAAATGCTTAAATATGCCCAAGGTAAATAGCATAATGAAATGTAACCCGTATATAACAACACCTAGTCTCAACTGTTAACACCATCCTGCCATGTTTGCTACCCCAGGATTTCTCGATGCATTCTTTGCCTTCATACATGCATCTGGATTGACTTCACCTTCATACCAAGCATACTTTTGGATAAATAGTCATTATATGTTTCTATTTTTCTTCCGAGGTAAACATTCAAGTGAATTTTTTATTGTTTAAGACGTGTGTGTGGGGAGGGGGTGTTTAAGACTTGACTTTAACTTTCATGAAGAGAAGTGGGAAACAGTTGCGTGTGAACTTCTCAGCTTATTTTGTCAAAGCCATTAGGAGGACATGGTCCAGCGCATCGCTGAATAAGTCCCACATTGGGAATTCCTTTCAGGATTTAACATCAAAAGAGGCAAGAGTCTCTTAATAATTGGTTAATTTGTTACAATAGCATCTTTGTTGCCAGAAAGCTCTGAGCTAAATGCAATATTCAATCACCGTCACTAAATCTGTATAGGTTTTTTATATACTGACTTGCTCCCTCCCTTGCACAGAGCTTTTGATTTTCTATTATTAATTTCAAGATCATACAATATATATATATATATCTTTTATTAAACATAGCCTCAAATATGTTTGGGTCCCCACCCCCCTAAAAACTGTTGCCATCCAGTCAATTCTGACTCGTGGTGGCCTCTTGTGTATTCGAATAGAAGTGTGAAGCACGGGAGTTTCCGTGGTTGATTGTTCAGAAGTAGATCTCCAGGCCTTTGGTCTAAAGCACATTTGAGTGGATGGAACCTCCAGCCTCTCGGTCAGTAACCAAACTCTTAACCCTTCTCCCGGCTCAGGGACTGCTCTGTTTGTTGGCAATGGGTGTGAAGTGCCATCGAGTCCTGTGTCACATGCTACAACTATTGTTATGGTTGAGCCCATGGTCACAGCCACGTTGTCAGTCCATCTGGGTCAGTCCATCTCACGGAAGGGCTTCCTCTTTCCCATTGACCTTCTACTTTACCAAGCGTGATGTCATTTTCCAGGGACTGCACCTCTCCATTCCCACTGCTTTCCCGCTGTGCTTGCCTGTGCCCCCAGGTGGACTGGGGAGGGAGTTCTCCCCTATGTCAGAGAACTGCAGGTCCCAGGACGTCTGCAGGTCCAAGGACGGAGTGCAGACAAAGAATGACCTGTGGCATTCCAAATCCAAATTCCCCATTTAGTCTATTCATGGACAGCTGGGAAGGCGCGCAACGCACAGTCCTCTGTTGCTTGTAGAGGCCTGTGTTTGAATTGGGTGCCCCTTGGAGCTGGTATGCCAACGGGAGCCCCTTATGCCACTGTGTGTCTTCATTCAAAGCTGGCCTTGCAGGAACGTTCACAGAGAATTGTTTGGTTGCTGAATCAAAAGTGTTTATGTGTGGGAAAAAGAAAAGTCACCATCATGTGATGGATTGGACTTCAGTTCAAGTTGAAAAGGTGGTTCACCTGTAATGTGAGGCAGCGGAACAAGAAACATGTGGTTTGGGAGCAAGCCAGGAGCTCGTGCAAATGTTTCTGTAAATCGAGATCTTGGGGACTTGTGAACGTCTCTGGCTGTCATCAATCCTTGCAGATGTCAAGGGTCCGTGTACAGTCCAAAAGAAGCCATTTGTTGAAATGGAGCCAGTTAACAGGAATGTGACAGAGAGAAGGTATCAGTTCCCAGAATGGGTCTAATCTCACTTGAGCAACGTCCCGAGTGAAGGGAATAAGCGGTTACAAAAGACCCCGTATGAGGTCGAGCACAAATACTCGCACAAACGTCTTGTCCTACAAGACTTTTTGTACCTTTGAGTCACGGTTCTTACCCACGTATGTGTCTGGTCCTCGCTTCTCTCCAATTGCTTTTCACCAACACCATCTCTACTCTGTAGCTGCTGCTGCCGAAGGCAGTGAACGCGTTGCAGAGTTTTAAATACCTACTCTTGGCCTGCTTCTCTACCAATCTGAGGCCAGGACCCAAAGGATGTTTCTGCTGACAGATAAGAACAAATAAGGACTGCATTTTCAGACGTCGATCCCCAGGCCTTTCTTCTGAGGCACTTCTGGGTGGGCTCACACCTCCAGCCGTCCAGTTAGCGGCTGAGTGTGCTGTTGGCACCACCTAGGGGCTCCTGGTTAGTGAGAAATCCCTGCCACATGGCGTCTCAGACTGAGAATCTTTACACGAGCAGCCTGGCAGCCTCATTTTTCTCCTATGGAGCAGCTGGTGGGATTGAACTGCCCACTTTACTGTTAGCAGTCCAACATGTATGCAGCAGTAACACCAGGGCTCCTTCCCAGGTAGAGCCAATCGCAATCAATAGACCTGACCACAAAGCCAGGGTTCCTGCCCATGATTGTCGATGACCAGGATTCCCTTTAAGCCTGGAAACCTTAGAGATGGCTTTGACTCTTGCCATTCCGCTTCTAAATGGCCTGAGCGCCGAGCTCTAGACTTGCCGCTGCTTTGAGTTCGGTCTGTTGAGGTCTCGATACCCCTGGGGCTGCCTCCTGAATTTACTCCTCTGGCATCGCTTCCTCAACTGTGTGCCTTATCCCGGGCTCTGTAGCATCAAACCTGAACTTTGACTATAGCAGCCAGCTGATCTCCAGCAAACCATCGCCCACTCTTCACCCATCCGCTGGGGGCCCAGCAGGGCTATGCCGTTCCTGGCGGTGCTTTCTACTTATGATCTTCATCAGAGAAAAATGGACTACGTGGTCCACACTGGACCACCTCACTCATTTTCCAATGAGAGCTATGGGTTGGAACTCACTCCCGGGAGTGTCTTCCTGTCTGCCTTGGTAGGTTGTCCACTCCCCGGTTCTGCCTGGAAAGCCCCAGATTTCCCTCTCTGGCTAACTTCCACAGCCAGCCACCCCTATGGTACCTTTCCAACACTCTCCCTTCTATCCGCCTACATCTACCTGCCCTCTGGTCAGGCTGGTTTTCTGTTTACTACCCCTGCCCTAGGCTCTGCGTTCCAAAGACGGACAGGTTTTCCAAGATCCAGCTTGATGCCCCAAACTCCAAACCAAACTCACTGGACCCAGTCGATTGCAACTCACAGTGACCCTCTGGGGCAGGGTGGAAGTACTGAGACAGTAACTGTGTTAGACAGGGTTCTCTAGAGAGATAAAACCAAATTCCTGATAATATAATATATTTATTTATAAAGATAATTAGATATATAACGAGAAATGAACTGTTAAAGCATATACAGATAAATATACAATACAAGAAATAAACAGTTAAATTAGAAAGCACTATAAATGGCTTAGTGCAACTCACCTCCGTGAGAGAAAGTTGAGAGACTGGCAGTCCTTCAAGTCTCTTTCTGATGCCAGATCTTCCTCTATTTGTAGAGAGAGCTAGGCTATGTCAGCACAGCAGCCAATCACAAGGCAGGTCACCAACCGCCAGTCCCCAGCTCCAGAGAAGTCTTAAAGGGACCTCAACTTACAGCAACACAGTCCACAGGCTAGGCGTCCCACAGGCAGTGTTAGCCTTTAAAATTGAGGCACAGAACAAGCAAGGCAGCCGCATACTGGTCCAATGATCACAGAGCGAGAGAGAAGAAAGGCAAGGCTCACCAAGCCATCCATCTCTCCGCCCCTCAGTCAATCCCACCTGCGTTTATCAGCCAGGCTGGCACAATAAACTATCTCAGTAACTCTTTAAGGGAGTAGAAAGCCTTCTTGTTTGCCCACAGAGCAGCTGGAGGTTTCAAACTGCTGAAGTTGCAATGAGGCCCAGTCCCTCCAAAATATCATTCCTTGCTACATAAATTCTGCTCTGAAACCTTTTGTTCTCTGTGTCCAAAATTAATAGCGGTTTTCCCGTTATTTCCCAATTATTCATTTTGAGACCCTAACTTGAGGGTGGGAGGCTTGCCTTATATGTCTTTTATTTCCCCAAGGAGCAGTTAGCAGGGCACTAAACACGGAGTGAACACCACATAAATACTTGTTGACTGATTGGTTAATCAATCAATTGATAAATGCTGCTCCTGCTTTTATAGCTTCAGGCGATTACCGTACTACTTCCAAAACAGACTAGCGGAGAATAGAAATGGATTAGAAGGGGTTTCTGCAAATGATCCGGGAAGAGCAGACTGAATGCTCAGTGGAGAGGGGGTTTCCATTCTTGACACACTCGCAGAGAACTTTCCTTCTGCAGACAACCCAGAGTAATGGACTCGGGCCGAGCTCTCATCAGGACCGCTCAGAATTGGGGGACCTAGACAAGAGCAAGTGTCAGAATCAAGGGTACTAGCCTCTGGCGGTCATATCTTTCAGGACTCATGGTGACTTCCACCTACCTCTACCTGAGCAGAACCGTGCTCCACTCAGCTCAGAGTTTCCCTCGCTGTGCCCCGCTGAGTCAAGAGCAGTGTAGCTCAACTACTGTCCATTGATCAGGTGTGGGTCCCTCTGCCCATGAGAAGTCAGGGGCTTCAAATCATTCCCCTTCTCTTTCATCAACATGTCAGAACCATATCTGAGATCTCTAAGACAGAGCCACATACAGCTCCCTACTGGACTCCTGGACAAGAAGTCACCACATTGCCTTACCCTGTCGTGGCACTGCCACACAAACTGTCTCTAGCCTTCATTTCTCAGTGCTACTAC